GAAAAACACTCATGACTTTTGTAAGGGTTAGGATCTGCAGTGTTGATAAGTCTTTGGAATTATAGACTTGATAGTAGTGTGTTGGTATTAATACGGTATAGTAATTGCTAGAATCCAAGTAATTTCAAATGTTGGAAGTAGCATTGTGTTGAAAATCCACAAAGAATTCCAAAACTTTTTATGGAAACCAGAAATGCATTAGGGTCTCAGAAATTAGTAATGTATTATTAAAATGAAAAAAAAAAAGAATAAAATGAAAAATATGCTTGTCTTCTGATCCTGGGAGTATTCTTTAGTGACCAGGATTATGACCAAGACTTAATTCTAAACAAGCAGTTAACTGTTGGAGAGTAAATGCAACTCACTAAATAAAGGAAATTATATTCCACTTACTGATTTACTAAATTTAGGTCAGGGATTTTATTGTCTGATTTTGTACCTAATCATTTCTGAAAGGTAATCATCTTAGTTTACTGTTATTTTTAGAATGAAGCACTGAAAAGTGAAGAAGGCTGCATTCCAAATGTTACCCCAGACATCTGCATAGCATTAAACTGCACCTCGAGTGCAGCAGGCTAATCAACCTTGTGGACTGGTCAGAGGTAAGTGGAGGGAGAAGAGCAAACTGTATTTGTACACTATCCATGACACTTTCCTGGGGTGTTTTTCTTAATATCTTTTTTGGAAAGCATAAATCACCTCATGCTTCAGAAATTTCTCCAAAATAGCAGCTTACTGTTCAACAGTCCCACTCCCAATCCCCTGCACTGATCCAAGCCAATGGTGCATTCATGGGATCAAATCCAAGATAACAGTAAGCAGAAGCTGAGCAGTTTACATCAGTTTTGTTATTCCACAAAATAAAAGTATATTAACTACCATTTCTCTTATAGCATAAACAAAAAAAAACCCCACATTAGAATAATTACACTAGCAATCAGGAAGCACAAGGAATAGTTGGCAAGGCCATGGACAACTGTTATTTTAAGTAATGATTCTTTCCCTCCTCAGAATATTACAAAGTTAACTGTTGAAGGCCTTATTTTACAGATCTGTTGTCACCACTTAAAAATAATTGGCTGCTTCCAAGAAAAACAGGCATTTTGCTGGGGTAATGGAGGTTGGGAGTAGAGGATTCAGTGCACCCTTTGCTTTTCAACTTTGACTAGTAATTTTTCTCTGCACATTTCTTCTCTGAAATAACATTATGCAGGAACAACTCTATTATCTTTTAATGTGTATTTGATTTAAAGTGAATATCAATATAGTTTTGAGAATCTGAAACTTGGTGTAATTGTTAAAAATGTGCCAGTTAGCAGCGGCAGTGCTTGACCTGGCTTCATATAGAGCCATAAAGGGCAATTAAAGATGTTTGGCAACAGTAGAGATTTTTATTTTCTTCTGTCTTCTCTCTCAAAAGGCTTTTGCAACAGTTGTGACAGCTGCTGAAAAAACAGATGCCAATTCTATAACCTCAGAAGAAAGGAATGACATTATTCAGTATCCTTTTAAAACCACTCTGCAATGTCCAAGTTTATGTATAGAATGTTTATAATTTTCTAAGATCTACATTTGAGATTTAAAGATGTGATGCAACCAACCTTATTGATATTAACCATTCCATCCCAGAGTGTTTCTAAATATTTAATTCAAACTTAATCTAAAATGAGGCCAAATATAAAATACTTGGTTTAAAACTTACAGCAAGATCATATTCCAAAATTCACCAAAAATATCCAAAACTGTCATTGAATTCTCTATTTTTATAAGGTTATTAATGTACTTTCAGGAGTTTTCATACTATGGAAAAAATTAGGTAAATATTAAGCACTTTCCACTCATATCTTATTGACTGGATTCTAATTGCATTTAATGGTTTCCCTTAAGGGTTGTTTAATTTAGGAGTATATTTTGAACTATATTTCCGTTTACTAATGTTTTAACATTGATATTTTAACCTCTTGTCAAAATACAACATGGCCAATTTCCTTAACTATATCTTCCAGTGCTCGGTTCATTAGAGCTGTTTCTGAACTAGAACTTCTAGGATTTGTAAAACCTACCAAACAGAAGACTGACCACGTGGCAAGGCTAACATGGGGAGGCTGCTAAGAAAGCAAATGAATGAAGCCACAAGGATCACATTTAGTTTGAGAGGAGAGAGAGACCAGTTATACTTACATACCACTAGAGGACAAATGTATAATCCCCACATGATGTTTAACCAGCAAGTAGACTGTTAATCCCAAACAGGACTTTATCAAAACATTTTCGGCATACTTTGGAATCCAGTAACAAGCTTACATTGTAACTGAAACCTTTCTCACATTATCACTAATTTTCATATTAATAAAATGTTCTTGAACATAGTATGTAAATGTAATAACATTATTCAGGAGTGTAAAGTATTTGCGGTTGATTTAATAGTACTCATTCCTACTCCAAGACATTTTGGAGACATGGGAAAATCTGAGTATGGACTGGATGTTAATTAAATTAGGGGAGTATTATTTTAAGTGAGATAATAGTTTCTAGTTATATAGGACTACCTTATTCTTAGAAGCTGCACTATGTATGTTCTTTTAAATAATTAAATATAAACATATAAACAAATATGGTACAGTAACTGTTCACTTTAAATGTATTTATTGACTGTTTTCAGCTTGAATGTTCTCTGAATAAAAAAGTGGGAATGAAGAAAATTCTTGAGTTTAGAAAAATAGGGTAATAGAGCTAGAGGGGGATTACAGGATTAAAAGGTTTCTAATGGCATGTTTATTATGCTTATGGGAATGATCTAGGACAGGGGTCCTCAAACTTTTTAAACAGGGGGCCAGTTCACTGTCCCTCAGACCGTTGGAGGGCCGGACTATAGTTTAAAAAAAAACTATGAACAAATTCCTATGCACACTGCACATATCTTATTTTGAAGTAAAAAAACAAAACGGGAACAAATACAATATTTGTATTTGCATGTGGCCCGCGGGCCGTAGTTTGAGGACCCCTGATCTAGGAGAAAGAAAACAGATGCAGGAGAGAGGACTGCTAGACTGGTCTTTTAATGAGAGGATTTTGGATCTAGTTTTTACCTAGAACGTAGGAACAATTTTTGGAGCCATGTCTGAGTAGATAGGGACAGGTTATTAGGTGCTTTAGCTGAATATTCATTTATTAATACCAATTACTGTATAATTTTTGAAGGGAGTAGATAACCCAAATAATAATCACTTCCACCTAGGGAACATATTAAACAGATTCTAACAGTCCTCCATTCCCTCATCTTCTAAAGCAGTCTCTGGGTTTAGAACATGGGATCTTTCCTAGTTCTCCAGTTAATATTGTGATGCAAAAAAAAAAGTTGTCACTCCAATAAATTTAATTTAAAAATCCAGTTTTATATTTAATACTATGTGAAAACTTACATACTAAAAAGAACATTCATTCATTATTCTGATAAAATAAATTCATAGTCACTCCAGAATTTAACTTCCTACTTGCATTCTCCTAAAAATGCTATCCCACTATATCATTGGTTCTCAGCTGGGGACTGTCTCCTCCCCCTACACCCAGCATTTGGCAGTATCTGGAGGTACATTTTGATTGTCACAACAGGGGATTTGAGGGAGAATTCTACTGTTATCTAGTGGGAGAGGCCAGAGATGCTGCTAAATGTCCTATACTACACAGGATAACCCCGCAAAGAAAGAATCATCTGGCTCAAATTGATGTGTTGCAATTGAGAATCTGTATTAGTCCATTAAAACCAGATAGAATCCGCCCCCCTCCCCTCCTTATTGATGGCACCTTGTGTTATACCAGTGTTTCTCAAACATTTAATGGGCATATGAATTACCTAGAGATCTTGTGCAAGATCTATACCTCATTTTGGCCTTGTTTTAAACAAAGAATTGGTAAAACATAATCACTAAAGTTTTTATAAAGGAAAAATAAACATTTTGCTTTCTCTGCCAAATTAGGTTATATATAAATTTTATCTATATTAGTAAGAGTAATATGCAAATTAACTGTCACTCCACAACAGATGGTGGCACCCATAGCCACAAAGATGGTGGCACTGGCTGGAGCCAAGTAGCCGGCAGGAGTGGGCGGGACACTTGGCTTCCTGTAAGCCCCGGCTGGCCACCGAGAGCCGGCCTCTGGGTGGCAGCCACAGAGCCGGCTCCAGCCTGGAGCGAAGGCGGGAGGCAGCGGTCAGAGCTAAGGCCCGGGTCCCAGGTGCCGGAGGGAAGCCGATACCGGCAGCCAGGGAAGGAAGGCCTATTCTTGCACGCATCTTCGTGCATCAGGCCTCTAGTCCTATATAATAAAACCCTAATACGCAAATCAAACCAATGGAGGTCACTATGACGTGCACTGACCACCATGGGGCAGATGCTCAATGCAGGAGCTGTCTCCTGGTGGTCGGTGCGCTCCCACAGGGGGAGCGCTGCTCAGCCAGAAGTGGGGCTCAGGACTGCTGATGAGTGTGGCGGTTGGGGGGAGCCTCTCCCGTGCAGGCAGTAAGGAGCAAGGGGTCCTGGACTGCAAAAGGGCGCAGGCTGGGCTGAGGGACGCCCCCCACCAGCACGAAATTTCATGCATCAGGTCTCTAGTGTATATATAAAATATCTCCTAGGCCATTTATGACTAGGATATGCTAATAGAATTCACAAAAGAACTCACTGAAGCATTTCCATTCATTTCATTATAGGAAAGCTTTGTTGAAAGTGACTTAAATGTGCTTTTGAAGTAAAACTTCCAAAGCTATTAAAACTGATCAATCATGTAACATTCTATCATGCAGTCAGTTATAAGCGATTTGGAATCAGACTCAGCTTTTGAAAATAGCACTCAAATCTTAGATTTGGTCAATGAAAATACTGATATTTAAGTCTTATCTTTTAAGTCAGATTAAATTGATTGGTTCCTGGAAAATGCTTACATTTAAAACATTGCCTTTATTCAAATACTACCCATCTGTACATTAAAAAACAAGCAGATTAGAAGTAAAGGTTTTATTCTTCCAACTAAATTCCAGTACTACAAGGGCAGTAAAACAATGATACACTGGGGGCGGGGGAAATGCAGCAATAAACATTTGTTAAAAAGACTGATAGAATAAATAAAAACTACCAAAAAAAAAAAAAAAAGAGAGAGAGAAAATCATATAAATTCATTTTGAAACCCCGAGAAGAAATGCCCTTCTCCTTCACTATTTCACAGGAAGCACTGTAGGCTATTTGCTTAATAATGTCCTGGGATTACATTCTAAATTATTAATAACTGGTTACAGCTTGGTTGTAGTGCACAATTAAAATCACACTAACTTCATCTGAAGTGTCATTCTACAGTTTTATTTACATAACCAGTGAAGGGCATGTTCTTAGAATACCAGCGCTAATCCTTTCAAACATTAATATAAGAAGCCAAATTGTAATGATACAGCAAGTGAGACCACTGGTATTAATACAGGTAGCAAAGGTCCATATCCAGGTGGTACTGACATCAGGGAAATTTCCAAAACCAGTTGCTGCCTAAGAGTAATTGTCACTGACGAAAGCTTGAAATAACCTGTATTCACAGGGGGGTATTTGCATTGCTGCATGTCATAATTGGGACCTCTTGCAACAATTCAACAAGGAACAAGGCAGCCCACAGATGCAGAAAATGTGATTCATGAAACATCTAAAGGGGGAGAAAAGGAAAATTAGTGCAAAGTCCAATTCAAAATTCAAACATATACCAGATCTCTATTCCCAATATTGCTCCAGGTCAGCAATTTTCAACCATTTTCATCTCATGGCACACATAAACTAATTACTAAAATCCTGCAGCAGACCAAAGAATGTATTTTTGCCCACCAGACAAAAAAGGTATAATTTTGATTCATTCACACCAATGGCTGCTGTAATTATTTTATCTGGCAATCTAAGGGGAAAGGTCAGTGCCCCTGACTAGTCAGATATTCCATGTTTTAAAAATTCTTTCAGCACACTGGTTAAAAAAATCACTGCCCTACATACTTAAATAATAAAAAATAAGCCTTAGTAAAATGTCCTATTTCCACCAGGGTTTTTCCACCGTTTCCTGTTTAATTCTCTTCTTAAGTATGAAGATAATTATAATAAATGTCTTCTTAAAAGATTGTCTTGTTTTCAGTTCATATATGCAATACTTACAACTAGCAGGCTGTTCTCCATATCGTCGCATTATTTGATCATGCGTAAACTTCACAAATGCATCATACTGTTCTATAAATAAAGGTATATGTGAATTACATGGCTTGTAAATGTCCTCTGTAATAAATTAGAGCCAGATAAACTGAAAAGTCCAGTAAGTATAGTGAAACAATTCTAAGTTGGCAATTAATCAGACACATAACCTCAGTAATAATGATAATGTATCATATAAAAATCCACATTTTAGTCCACAGCACAAGACCATGTATAGGCTGGGTAGGGCATATTTCTTAACCTATTAAAAATAAAGGGCTTGAAATAAAAAGATGTCTTTCTACTCTGAAATCATATTGCAAGTGTTCTATTAAATGGCAAATTTACTGCAACGAGAGAAAATAAGACAACACTTAAAAAATATGATATATCCCTCCCCATCCACCTGTTATCAGATGTCACAGAAAAAGACTTATTATATAACTAAACAAATTATCTTGCCTTTTAAAAAATGTTTTTATTGATTTTAGAGAGGGGGGGGAAGGGAAAGGGATAGAGAGATAGAAGCACCAATGACAGAGACATCATTCGGCTGCCTCCCCCCTACTGCGATTGAGCCCACAACCTACGCATGTGTCCTGACTGGGAATTGAGCCAGGGACCTCCTGGTTCCATGGGTCTATGCTCAACCCATAGAGCCACACCAGCCAGGCTATACTAGCACCTTGATTTAACTCCTTAAGAATCAAAAAGCTTATAATATTGCTATCCAGTAAAATCTGCATAAAAATGGGGGTGGGAGGATTCTGATTACGTTACCACATGTAACACATTGTCTTTACTGCAAATTTTACAAAAAAAAAAAATCTTTTGTTTTGATAATGTTTCTATCTCTGTATCCCTCTCCTTTCTCTAAAAATCAATGAAAGCATACTTAAAAAAAAAAAAGCTGCAGCAGCTTGATACTCTAAATCAGTGATTCCCAAAGTGGGCGCTACCGCCCCCTGGTGGGCGCTGCAGCGATCCAGGGGGGGCGGTGATGGCCACAGGTGCATTTGTTTTAACTTTTTTTGTATTACCTTTCTATTCTGAGTTCAATAAATAGTTTCATAATTTCAAACTTCAATGTTTCTAATTTACACCTTTCTTTACTATATTTTACGAAAAAGGTAGAAACATTAATACATATATCTTTCTGTTTAATTGCTATTAAAATTTTAAAAAAAAATTTAATTTACAGGGGGCGCTGAGTAATATTTTTTCTGGAAAGGGGGCGGTAGGCCAAATAAGTTTGGGAACCAGTGCTCTAAACTGATGTACAATAATCGTTAGATTATTTCAAGTTTCTAGTCAAAGTTGATGGCAAAGTTACCATGAAAGGAATAAAGCCCAAAAATCCAATCAAATTTATATCGGAAAAAATAAATCTAGTTCATTAATACTGGTGCTGATCTACATGGCTAACAAATACCACTATTTCTTGAAGTTACTGAGGGCCATGAGCTACAGAAAGATGCATTTCCTTTCTTGAACTGAAATTCTCTGGTTCTTAGAAAACATTGTGCCAGTGTATACAGAAAGGAGTAATTTAATTGACATGAAGTATAATTTGGAAATAATGCATTTCTTAAGGTGAGTTTCTGGGAGACTAAATAAACTCATACCTGCAAGTTTTGTGTTCAGTATTTCTTCATACTCTTCTCGAACTTTCTCTTCACGTTCTTTCCACAAACGTTCACAGATCATCCCAACCTGCCATAGGGTGAATAAGGGCTGTTCTTTTTTTAAAGGTGAGGATGTTGCAGATGAAGTCCCTATGTATAACATGAAGAACAAAGAAAAGCAACTGATTTAGGGCTGCCATAGAAAAGCGTCTTGTAATGGATGAGGTCTCATTTGAATCTTTTGCTGTGATTGGAAAAACAGCAAGATGAATGCAATCATATATCAGAGGAAAAGTCTGAAGATGAGTGGAGAAAACTACAAAATACAAAGTTTAATAAAGTTTGTTTTTTTTAATTACTGATATTAGCTAGGAGACCACTTTGTAAAAATAAATACTGAGAATATATTCTTAATATTTAGTATTAAATTTAATGGATCAGAGTCCTTAAAGATTATTGATCTAAAAAGCCACTTGGCATAACCAGATAGTTATGCTTGATACAAAAGATTTCTTTCTTCAGCCCTGGCTAGGTGGCTCACTTGGTTGGCGTGTTGTCCTGTATACCAAAAGGCTGTGGGTCGCATTCCTTGTTGGGGCACGTATGAGAGGCAACTGATCAATAGATCTCTCTCCCCCCGCCCTCTCAAAATCAATGAAAATATATCCTGGGGTGAAGATTAAAGAAAAATAAAAAGATTTCTCAGAATGTATTCCTCTTAAGGCAATTTTATTTTCAAAAAATATCATTCCTCATGTCTTAAAAAAAACATCTAAAATTAATCTTTTTGAGAACTCAGAATTGATGAGCATCCACTATAACGCTGCTGCAAGTATTTTATGCACACACAAATACATAGATTTGCTATCAATAGTTTTTCCTGCTGTGTGTATCTGTTCCTGGTGTAGCCCCAATTCCTCTTTTCATTTGCTCCTTATAATCTGTATGACTGAGACCAGTTAACTAACTGCTTCTTAGAGCTATGTCTATAGCAAGAATAAAGTATCCCAGAACTTTATTTATACCACCTAAAGTAATGCATAACTACACTAAGGCTATGTTTATTTACTTTCAAATTCCCAGCTTTGTTAGCTGAACCTGACAGTTAATTGATCTATGAAATAAACAGACTAATTAATGATTATGATCTTCATCCTCTGATATAGTCTAGTCCAGTGATGGCGAACCTTTTGAGCTCGGCGTGTCAGCATTTTGAAAAACCCTAACTTAACTCTGGTGCCGTGTCACATATAGAAATTTTTTGATATTTGCAACCATAGTAAAACAAAGATTTATATTTTTGATATTTATTTTATATATTTAAATGCCATTTAACAAAAAAAAATCAACCAAAAAAATGAGTTCGTGTGTCACCTCTGACACGCATGTCATAGGTTCGCCATCACTGGTAGTCTCTACACTTACTTCCCCGTCCTACATTTTCACCCACTTATACCTGGCCTCCCAAATTGGCAGGAGTGCTGCAGAATTTAGTTTTGAACAAGTTCATGTTTCCTAATCTAATTTTATTTCACTGTTTTTACAGCCTTTGAATGTTTTTTTTTCTTTTCAATTCTACCAGATTTTCCTATCCCGGCTGGGAGGGGAGAGAAAGAAGGCAGGCAACTATTGTCACAAGAAAAACTATTTTGCTGAGAAGTTTACTAAAGGTAAGAGCCACTTTTGATGGCTTTTTCAGTAAGAAGCTTTACTTCCCCTTCATTTCAAATAGCCTTCATTTTTCTGCTCTTTTTAAAAAGTGTATTTGCAAACTACTCCCCCCAACTAAAAGGTAGGTATAAAACAACACTGGATCAAAACAATACATGTTTAGGAATCTATCCTAACAGGACAAGTGCATGAGGGTATATGTACAAAAGACAAATTTTTGTAAATACTATATAGCAGAAATTCTGAGTCTAATTCATTAATGGTTTGATAATCTTGGGAAATCCATAAAATGGCATAGTATTCAGCTATGGCAAAGTACGTATATACCTAACAGAGAAACACATGGTATACTGTTACTTTTTTTTAAATGGAGGCTTCAAATCATAGCATTTACTTATTTTTGTACCATATTTTTTAAGTGATCATGCATTACTTGAATAAATGTTGTGGGGTTTTTTTTTAATCAAGGGGAGAAATAGGAGCTTAAGTATCTAACGGATTACTTTTTCCTATACTAAGTAACATTGCCTTTCACTTAAGTTTATTATTACCTGGCGAAGCTGGTCCACTGAGGAGAAATGCATTTGGCTGTGCATCAGAAGTACAACATGGATCCGTCTGTTGAAAACTAGTTTCTAAATGTCTTCTCTTCTGCATGCGTTTATACTCTTGTTTTATGTTGTACAGAATTTGTTCTAAAAGAAAAAAGTTAAACGTTGGCAAGATAAAAACTTTCAAGTTTTTAAAAAAGCGTTGTTTATATCAATTAGCTTATGGTAAAAACTGGTTTTGTTATATGTCATTTCACTGAATGTCACAGAACCTGTCAATGATGTGAAGCGAGTACTTACTGTACATCTTTAAGAAGTTAGTAATTCCAATCCAAAGCCAAACAAAAATTAAAAGTGAGAATTGTCATTCAGCAAAATGACAGAATACATGGGAACTCAATTATCACATATTAAATAGTAATAGCCATTTAATGGTAAAAGCTCAACAGAACCTATGACAATTAAGGCATTAACAGCAAACTTTTGTTCTGAATATTTGGAGTAAAAACCGATGTAAAATGCTTGGTATGTCACAGGTAATTAGTTAGAATCACTATACCATGGTGCCATTATCTTCAACCATAACCATGGAAACAGGGATAAAATTATATCAAGTATATCCCTAAAGTGAGTATGATTCATTTTAGAACAATTTCTAATTCAAAATAGTTACCATTTAGCCTCTCCAGAAAATCCCTCCTTGAGGTTCCAATGTCCCTCACTAACAGACTTTCTCACAACCACCACAGCCCCTAAATTAATAGGCTACCCATCTGAAACTACAGGTCCTTTTATAACATCATTTCATTGAATGTTCCTTTAATACTCTTAAAACATTGATGAGAATCAATTAGCCATGATAAAACTGGTTTAGTTGTACTTCAATGATGTGAAGTGAGGACTTACTGTACATCCCAAGAAGTTAATAATGCCAACCCAAAGCAAAATTAAACAAAAATTAAGAGTTATGGTAACTAAGAGGCAATAATATGATCCATAAATATAACAGAGTGTAACTATCAATTATACAATGATGGATTAATTTAAATATGAACTAAAAACTCACTGAAGGCTAGCAATTTTTATAAGATAAGAACGATCCTTTAAAAAATATTTCAGACTGGTGGTTTTCTTAGGTATATATTTAATTTTCTTTTCTCACTTTATATTGTTTCCTAGTAAGTCCTTTTAGGGCTTTTGAGAGATAGACTAAGCAGACATCAGTCACTCCTTTGAACATTATAGATTATGCCATTTCATTATTTTAACTGAAAAAAGGGGGAAGAAAAATTGCAAGAGATATACTCAGTGAAGATTTCATTTATGTAAATTTTGTGTGTAAACAAACCTGTTTACATATAGATGAATGTGCAGTGTAAGTACAAAAATCACACTTTGGAATAATTAACTTTTAGGGTAGTTGTGTGAGGGATGCTTTAGCTTTATTTTTCACAATATTAACATTTGTTTATGTCAAAGTTATTTTCAGTCTTGATCTATTTATTTGCAATAGTTTATAATTTAAAATCAAAGTTACCAGTGTGAAATAAAATGGCTGTCTATTTGAACAGTTAAGCACCTTAATAGAAATGGGTTTCCTAAGATTCACAGGTGTCCATTAAAACTGGTGCAACATCCTATACCAACCAGGACAAGCTCAAGTATCCTTATTTTTTAACTTTCAGTAGCAATATTGTAAAAGGTTTCAAGGTTATGATGGTTTAGTCTCATTCATTTTTTATTTTCTGCTGAAAGCTAACATCATCGCCATCAAAAGTGCCATTCAAAGCATCCTAAAGTTTATTCACAACCAGAGATTTCAAATGTACTAGGCCCAGAGTAACCTGACCTTAACATCTCCTATATGATTTATTCTTTGATCACCACACAGCTGTTCTCAGATTACTTAGTCTTCCTTTTGTTTCACAAAGTCAACAAAAGCATACCTAAGATGTACCAAAAGAATAGTTTTAACAAGCAATTTGTTCCTTTAATACTCTCAAAAAATATCTAGCCTGGGATTAAGATATGGTAAAATTTATCCTGGCCAGGTGGTTCAGTTGGTTGGAGCATAGTCTCATACACCAAAAAGGTTGAGGGTTCCAATACCGTCAGGGAGCTAACAAAAGGCAAACCAATCAATGTTTCTCTCCCCGCCTCTTCCTCTTTCTAAAATCAATCAACATATCAGGGGAGGATTAAAAAAAAAAAAAGATACGGTCAAACTTTTAAAATTTTAGCTTTATAAACGTCCATACCATCTTAAGAAGAATCAAGCAAGCTAAGGAATTTTTAAGATATAATTTACAAATTAGTTCACCAATTTAAATGTACTATTAGTACATCTAACAGGATGCAACTATGTCATCCAAGCCTCAATGTGCCCTCAAATGCTCTAATACTGGTAACATGTGAATAACTTAACCAAGATCTTAGCAACACAAATAGCAAAAGGCTAATAACTGCAAGCCTCAAACTTAATCCTCTATCTCAGTTCAGAGTGAAAGCAATTTTGAAGCTGGTAACTCAAGAAATTTCCCTAGATTCAATTTAATACAACACACATAGTAAGCTCAGCCTAGATATTTGTCTGACTTAAGTTGCTTTCATACCAGCTGCATAAAGACCTCCATATATCAATAAAGTACCTATGTCCACTTAATCATAAGCTACTTAAATCTAGCCCTCTTAGCAAACTAGCAAGTGACAATTTATTCTAAGTACGTGTAACATCTGACATTGTTTTGCCAACACAATTTGCAGTCCATTAAAGAAAAAGTCAAAACTTCACTTATACGATCAGTTAGTTGCACATTTGAGTTTTAATCATGCAGCTTTCATACTTAACCAGGAAAAAAAGATTGAATTTGAAGTAAATCACTTACTAGTAAAATATGTAGTTGTATATAGCTTTTCAAAAATCCTAAAAACTACATCACGCTTTTATGAATACTGCTAAGACTTTCTTTTTTCCACTGTACTAGATTAAGTAAATAATCAGTATTACTAAATTCTATGACTATAGCTTTTCATTCCCAAATCTAGTAAATGACATTGAGATTGTGAATAAAATTCTCCTCCTTTAACAGGTAGTAGGAGATTATCAATGAGACAACACTTACTCCTTTGGGATATTAAAAGAGAAAAACAAACAGAAACAAAACAAGAAAAAATCCCAGGTAAATGTGAAAAGAAAAAGCCTGAGTTGATGAGGGTAAGAGAAACAGCATTAAGATGGGACTGAGAGCAAAAGGAGAAATACGGAATTAGAAGCAACTAAAAATGTGTTGAGGACAAAAAAATTGTAGGAGGGGAGGAATCAAGTATCTTTTTTTCTAGAGTAGAGGCCACAAAATGTCTAAGCATCTGTGATACTAAACTTTTGGTCTGGACTTGTATAGACTTACTTTTTTCCCACTGACATCATTAATAGATCAAACACTAAGTTTCATTAACCGTTTTAAGTGTAGAATAATACCCTTTTTTTCACATTGTGTACTAATTTTTCTATGGCATATCTTTGAAAACACAAAGTGAAAGTTCATTTAGACAGATGACTCCAACAGTGGGATTAAAATAAATAAAGTAAATCTTGAAAGTCTGTCAGCTCCAGGCAGGAACACAAATCTAATGGAAAGCCTATACACACGTACAGAAAACCTGCAGTAGTCATTAAAACCTAAAACTAAGAAAATGTTCCAAATTAAGACCAAATCTAAAGCTTTGAACTATATACTAGGCATGTCATGCCTACTTTATAAATTAAAACACTCAATTAACAGTTGCTATGGAGACCCATTTTTTGTAAATCAATTATTTTCCCATGATCATCTGTTCAGAAACTAACAGTTCTCACACTCTCCTTGAAGGAATCCTTAAGAACAATGTTCTTATCCAGCCAAGAGCTATTAAGTAAAAAGAATGTGCTGATGCTGTTTTTAATTCACTTTAAAATTATTGCTATGGGAGCTGAAACCAAATTTTAACCAAAAAATTGTAAAGTTATATCTACAGTCTTAACTTCTACTTGGATTAGCATGAATCCTAACAAGCGTAATATAGTTGCACACAATTACATAAACATTAGGGTATTATTTACAGTTCTTTAAAAAAAAGTACATTATATAATATTTTAATGTATAAGAAGCATTCATTGGTTTCCTACAGGAGGAAGAAAAACTATAATCATTACAGGTCAAATTCTATTATTTCACTGGTACTATAAAAGCCAATGAGTATTTATTTGAAATGACTCAATCTGTTAAAACCCTGCCAGGCCTAAGTATAAATTTCACAAATTAACTGCACAATGGGAGTCACTAATGCAAGGAGTCCAACAATCCTCAACCAGCAGATGTCTCTTCCCTGATATCCAAGAAGCTTCATACCTCTATTTTATATTACACTAGATAGATTCTAAAGGGGTATGTTAACCCTGTTGCTTTTGCTGTTCAGCTCTTTACTATCTGCAAGTATCTCTTCAAATAACTTACAAACTAGAAAAATACAGAGTAATAAGAACAAAAAAGCAGTCTTATCCAAAAAAATGGATAAGAGAAAGGGGAAAGTGAACCATCCAAATCCAAATCCTCAAGCATGCATGTTATAGAAGCTTTGATTCCAATTTACCATGGCCATCATAAGGTAAGCCTTGGAAGGACAGACAGCACAATCAACCTGAAGAACAAACCAGTCTTCTACAAGTTATTAGGGCACCCAAAACACACACATACATTGCTATAGCATACCTGGAAACCAGGTTGCAAACTGATGATTGACAAACTAAAGACATGTCTGGCTTGAATACTTAAAACAAGTATGAATTTGTGGCTGTCATTTAAAAGTTGGGTATTTTACATTAAAAGTCAGGTTTTTGGCTACGTTGGGGTGAGGGAGGAATTGGATATGTGGTAAAATTCAGCTAAGAATAGCTGCTACCTTTTGGGCGTAAGTTCTCAAGAGCTTTTAAACTTCAAATGAATACATAAATCACCTAGGGATCTTTTTTTTTTAATGAAGACAGGAATGGAGCCTCAGATTCTGCATTTTTAATAAATTTCCAGGTGATGCTGCTGATCAATAGCAAGGTTGGAACTCACTGGTTCCCACAAACTTTATGGGCATTAAAGTTTCTATCTAATTAAAAAGTGGTTGGTTTATTTTTTATTGGCCATACCAGGAAATGGAGAGAAGTAGTAACAACAGAAATTATTACAAGTATAAATATATGTAAGGTGTACTAAATACACTTTGCTACCCTCACTTGCATAGCTATTCTAGTTCAATGGTAGACATGCCCTCCTCCCCAGCAGGAAAATATTCTGTAAATCAATTTGAACTTGATTGGATCTACCTCAGGAGACTCATTACATGACATTAACATACACATACCTATTCATTTTTCCTAACACACCTTTCTTAAAATCCATGTTCATTATGTAACAATAGTGAACAAATGCATGTGCTTTTATTTCTGCTTTAAAAAAGCAATTAAGACTATATCACAACAGAAGGTACTGATTAGAAGCCCACAGACATCTTGTTTATCCCCTATATATTGTAAATTAGTAATGAATATTTAAAAGTCAACATATTTCACAAAAATTGTGACTTCTAGAAGGAAGGAAGGCTACTGAGAAGATATGACAATAAAAAGGTCCAAATGCTCAATGGCCCAAACTGAGAGAAATGGTCTGAACTAAAGATATAAATTAAAGAGTTATCTATGAAGAGAAACTAAAGTCTGAAGCATGAAATGTGACTGCTTAGGGACTATGAAGCTAGACAAAGTGGAGCTGAATCTAGAACTAAGGAACTCCTAAGTTTAATGGCCACATGAAGACAGAAAACAGCCAGAGAAATAGAAGAAAACAGTACTGTCACAGAAGGGAAGAAAAAAAGTATTTCAAAAAGGGAATAAGTCTGCAGTGTGCTGTAAGAAAGGTCAAACAAGAGGAGGATTCACAGTGTGCCATGAAAGTCATTGGTGACTTGACAAGAGCTGTTTGAGGCACAAATATATTTGGAATGAGTTGAGAACCCAAGAAATGGAAGCAAATAGACTACCTGAAAGCTTTTCGAATTAGATTTTGAAGTGGAGGACTCTGGATGACTGCTGAAGGAAAATGAGGATGTTTTAGTTACTTTATAATGGGAAATTAAAGCAAAGGTCTGGTTGGGAGAGAAAAATAGTTGAGGAAATGTTCCTTTGGAGAGAAGTGAGATCCTTCCCCTCACTGTGTCAAGTGCTTTAATGATCTCACTTAATTTTCCTCAATGATACTAAAAGGAAAACAAGATAGGCACAAATGTTGGTAGTGTTGGTACGGGGGAAAAATGAAGAATCTGCCATACGATGGCTTCTATTTTTTTCTGTGAAATACAAGACAAGGTTATTCACTAAAATAGCAGGATTGCTGGACAGTGTAAAATGTCACATTTGAGGTTGCTCTATTGTGACTGTTTTCAGCACTCAGGGACAGGAAAGCTCAACCCTAATAACAACTCCAGAAGGGAGATACTATCACCATGTGCATAATTTGAAATTTTGCTTTAACGTCAGCTGTATTATGGCAGAGCCAACCCTGATCTCTGGGCCTACACTCTTACTATCCACTCCACTCTCCAGTATTGTACTACTAGACCTAGCCAGCATTCTACAATCACCTGAAGCTACAATAAGTCACAATAAGGAAAGTTAATTTTAAAAAAACCACATAGGATGCCAGTTATAAGAGGGACTAGAGGCCCGGTGCATGAAATTTGTGCATGGGTGCGGTCCCTAGGCCTGGCCAGTGATCGAAGCGTGAGCGTCTGGTGTGGAAGGGCAGGTCCCAGCTGACCTCTGGGCAGCACCTGGGCCCCCAGGTGCCCCCCCTGCCTGAATCATGGCGCCCGGGTCCCCACTAGGAGATGCAGTGAGCGCGGTGGGCCAGGGCACAGCATGGGCCTCTGGACCACCCAGGAGTGAGGGCGGGCAGCACGCTCTCTCCCGGCCGGCCTCACAGACCGGCTTCTGCACGAACCCACGGGGAGCCTGACCTGCCCCTGTGGGGCCGGCTCACCTAGAAAAGGCTGCGCGGGTGCAGGATGGGCTCCTTGCATGCGCCCAGCACCTGAGTGCGGGGCTTCCCAGCGTGTGAGCCCTGGCCTCCCGGTGGAGTGTAGCAGGGGGAGTGAGAGCAAGTTCAGCGGACACCTTGCATTCTCACCACACCTCCGTCCCCATCACCCCTCCTCCCCCGAGGTAGCCGGTGAGAGGTCACAGCAACCCCTCCCAGGCGCAGTGGGAGGTTGGTCACCACCACCCACTCTCAGGTCCCCGTCCCAGCCTGGGGCCCAGCCCCCCGCCTGGCTCCCTCAGCACCTGGGAGCCAGGTGGCAGCCCCAACCCCCACTGCCCCGGGTCACAGTCTGTGGGGGGATTGGTGGGGTGATGGGGCCCCGCTCGCACCCACTTTGGCCTGGAGCCGCCTGCTCACCTGGCTCCACCATCCTGCCGCAGTCCCGCTCTCGTTGGGGCCCATCAGGGCCAGCAGTGCCTCCACTGCCGCCTGCTGCCAGCGCCGCATCGCTGATGCCCGCCATGTTCCACACTGCCCCCTGGTTGTCAGCCCATGTCATAGCAAGCGGTCGAACTCCCAGCCGAACAACCGCCCAAGGGGACAATCTGCACATTAGGCTTTTATTATATAGGATTACTACCATGTATCATTGCTACATCATACCCTGAAACTTCAAACTTTGCGACTCTTAAGAAGGTAGTAACCAAAACGGAGCATAATTCTCATCTACCTAGAACTCTGAAACAATGATCACTGGCTATAACAGATTATAAGAAATCTTTGTTACATTCAGATATTTACTTAAGGGATGCTTCAAGAGTCTCTAAATTGTCTCCTCTCAGGATAAGCACCTATATTTAACCAGAATGTTTTATTGGTATTTTAAAAGCGAGTAAGTATTCTAAACTGGCAGATCAGCATTGCCATGCAGTACTGATTACAATGCCAGCCTCTGATAATGTACTATTTTCACATGGGCCATGGATGGGTGGTTACAGTGAGCACCAGGTTCCCCTGTTCTGTCATAGCAACCTAAAACCTCCTATACTTTACTAGTAAACCAATTACACACTTAGAAAAGTTTTGCTCCAGAGAATACGTCAGCACTAGAAACAAGGCAATCCTCTATAACAATTAAAAGGCAAACTCCAAGGACAACAATGTTTTTAAAAATTGGCTTTCTGCAAATTTTCAAATTCCACTCTGTTTTGTTCTTCGATTGCTAAATCAATGCAACAGTACTTTTTTTTTTTTAAAGAAACTAAAAATCAATTCTCCCAGATCCCTCCCTCCAACCTTTCCTTTTAGTTTGATTTCTGGAGGCGTTTTTTAAGAATTAACATTAATGAAAATGAATGCTAAAGTCAAACTACACATCATAGTTTGAAGCAATTTCAGAAATAGCCAATAAACAAGGTTCAACACTCACCTAAAAAGAATAACTTTTTCTTTAAGGTTCCAAAAGTAGTAAACCTGTGATTTAATCCAGTAACCCAATTTCAAGACTTAGGCTGCCAAAGGTGAAAATAATAACTCTAATGTGGATAAGCATTATTAAATCGGAATTAAAGATGTGATAAAGTATAAACACTACAGTATTTTTATTCAAGTTTAGCTAGCTAATAAAGTATTAGCAGTGGTGGCTTTATCAGCCCCTCCAGAGACTGTCTTTTCTTTGCCTAAACAGCACAGTATCTGGAATGCAAGTGGGGCTGTTAAAAGCTAGAGCAAGTGACTTCTAGAGTAAGTATTTAGACTTTTTAAAGAATGTTGTGAAAAAGCTCGTACTTACATAGACCTAGAAATTAAAATTTAAGTCAAATCCAAAAATTATATCAATGGAAAGACTACAATTTTAATAAAATATATTGCAAATCACTAGTTCATGTCAGAATGATCTGACATATGATGATTGTGGCAAAAACTCATGACTTATGATTTTTAAAAAGAGGAAGAAATTAAGTTATACTCCAAGACAAACTACAAGTATATTTATTATGAGCTGTTTTTCTAGTACTAGAATGTTAAAAACCAAAAGCTTATTATCTCAGGAAGACTACACAAAATATTGCAAATCACTAGTTCATGTCAGAATGATCTGACATATGATGATTGTGGCAAAAACTCATGACTTATGATTTTTAAAAAGAGGAAGAAATTAAGTTATACTCCAAGACAAACTACAAGTATATTTATTATGAGCTGTTTTTCTAGTACTAGAATGTTAAAAACCAAAAGCTTATTATCTCAGGAAGACTACACAATCTAGCATACTTGCAAAATTCTGATCAAAAGACCCAAAATAAATATCAAAGCTGACAACTTGACATACACTAGAATTTTAATTTATCTTCAAAGATAATCTCCCTGCTCAATATAGCTGGCAACATCTTAACACATGAGAATATTTTTGTAACTTAAAATAATTCAATTCTTTTAGAAAAGATTAGAGCTTAATACAAATCATGTAAAATCTTTAAAAATGTGTTTCTTCAAATGAGCCAATCTCTGAAAATGGTAAAATATTTGTAAATGGGGCTATTCCAAATATTAGAACCATGCTTGCTTCGGCAGCACATATACTAAAATTGGAACTATACAGAGATTAGCATGGCCCCTGCACAAGGATGACATGCAAATTCGTGAAGCGTTCCATTAAAAAAAAAAAATTAGAATGCACATAATCCATGTTTACCATTATCCAGAAAGATGAGGGAATACTAAGTATACTTCAAATGCCTAAGAAAAAGTACCGTTTAAAGTCTTAAAGGAATTGCTATATTTATTATCACTACCCATTTTGTTGCATCACAATTTAAAATAATATATATAATCACAAAGTATAACTATATTGTCCCAAAAGTCTTTAAAAATTGGTACAGAATGAGGGTAAAACTGAAATTACATTAAAAAACAGCTTCAGTATCTCTAAGAACCTTGGAAAATGCCAAGGCTTAATTAATTCATAAATATTTTTAAACTTTGTGATTATGAGGGCAGAAAATATTAACTTTGGGATTATTTTCGAATTATACAAGACCCATGTGACCACCCACCTCAAAATCCAGGTTAACAAATCCTGTTAACAAGTCTCATTGCTACAAGGCTGCTACTGATGGATCACATTTCTCAGGTGTGTTTGTTTATAAGCTGAGAAATGTTAAGCCAAGTTCTAGAATCCCTACACTCAGCAATAAAATTAAAGATAAATCTCTTTAACTAAATTCATTTGTGAAGACAAGACCTCTTTACCATCTGCAGATGCCAGACTGATTCATATAGGCTCCAACAAGTATTTCACCCTTCACACTTTTTTGAAAGTAGGTAGTCTTCTCAGAGGCAAGAAATTCACTGTGGTTTCACATATTCATAGAGAACATACTGTGAGTCACAGTACTAGCAGTGTTAAGGCAAGACTGCAGGGACCACAAGTTGCTGGTTAGTTCAGTTATAAGTATTTGAAAAGACTCACCACCCCCAGCACCATTATCTAGTTTCATAAGCCAACTATCCAAGAGGTCCAAACTTACTGTAACCCATATTCTGAAGGAGAATCAAAAGTTTCTTTTCAAATAGGAAAAATACACAAAACTGGGCACTTCCTCTGAATCTCTTATTCTCAACCTTTCAAAACAAAAGCATTGCTATCATTGTCTTCCTGGGTCTACCTATACACTTAGGAAAGACCTACCTGAAAAATACAGTATATTCTTTTCCCCATAATGTCATTCAAGGACAGAGAAATTATTCTCCTTTACATCTCAGATTATATCTTGGTGGCAACCATGATAGCTAGTAGCATCTATATCTAAAGGGCTAACTTCTCTCTGATCTAGCCATGTTTACCCAATGTGTTTCTGTGCTGAAGTTAGGCTTTATTTTTCTACTTTCAAAACAAAATAGCTCAATAATGAATACAACTGCATTCTGCTTTTAATGGCCATAAGCTTACAAGATTCTTAAATGCATAATTCATAGAAATATAAAATAAATGAAGCTACACACATAGTCCTAAATAATATACAGGCTTAAAATCCCAAGTACAAAGACCATTAAAAACTGTTTATTTGCCAAATCCACTGAGAAAGTAGAAGCAACTTAACAGCTGTCTAAATAACCACAAAATATTAAAAACACTTCTGGTTCAATATAAATGACATCTGAAGTGAAATGCTGCCTCCTCCAACAGAATCTCATTTGTTTGCCTAGAACCTACATTTATACTTCATTTAAGCCAGCTGGTGTCTCTGTTTGCAGGCATGCATCAATGCAAACCCTTCCCCATTCACAAGCTGCAATTTCCATTTTTAATGGCAGGTTTCCAGCAAATACAATGAGTCCTTACAGTGGAATTTAACTCTTCATCCAACTCAATTCCTAAGGCAGACTAGAACAATGGTAACAAAACAATGTGTACAAAAGTGCCTGGAAACTCACAAAATAGGCTGACATTTACAGAAGGATCTTTTCACCAGACAATTCATTCATTCACTACATAATTATGAAAAACATTGTGCTGGATTTGACTGACAGACTTTTGTAATGTTGCATAATATTTTGGTTTTATTAAAACAATTTTGTTCTTGGGAATATCATAACGATCTTTTGACTAAATAGAATATTCTAAGATGTTTCAAAAACCAAGTGAGAAAGGTAGAAACCTTTGACTCTGTTTTCAACTAACTTACCATGAGTGCTGACATAGCTATTATAGACCTTCATTTACCCAATTACGGTCAATGCTTCCTCTCCCCTCCTCTCCTCATTCAATTTCCCCCTTTCACATACACAGTATCATAAACTGCTAACACTCTAGACCAGGGATAGGCAAAACTTTTCTGTAAAGGACCAGACAAAATATTTGAGCTTTGGGAAAACACACACACACCATCTGTATGAAAAGTGATAATGCAAAAATTATATTCATGTAATAAATAGACACCAAACTAAGGAAATATGGCAATTTACGTGGTATAGCTTTAGTCAAGGTACATAGATGGCAATGCCATACATAAAAAAGTCTATAATATCTGCTGCAGCCACCCCCATTTTAAAAGTTACCCTAATTTAAAAAAAAAAATCTGTCACAACTACTCAACTCTGCTGTGATAACCTGCAATAAACAATACTTAAAAAAAAAAAAAAAAGAACAGGCTGTGTTCCAATAAAACTTTATTTGCCAGCTCTTTCCTTTTTCCTGGTATGAGGTTGCAACAGTTTGGAAAACATTGATTTAAATAATAGTCATCAAGTCAAACTTTGGAATCACCTTCCTGGGATGAGTAAAATAAACTAGGGTTTAAAACAGATGTCCACTTTTCTGAAACTACTAGTAAAGCCACAACATGACTTCAGCTACACATCAGAGGACATTAAGTAGCCAAAGAACAACGATAATGATTAATTATATAAATGCTCTGAATTGTTTAAATTATATTTGAATTCACAG